AGGGGACAGGAAGGGCGACCAAAGAGGGGTGTGTGTGGAAGGTTCAGCCGTGGGCAGACAACCAGGTGGAAAGGTCCCAGAGGAGTATCCCTCCAGGGTAGCTTCATGAGACATTCAAGATGGGGGATCAGGGAGAGGTACAACTGGTTGGACAGAGGTCAAGCAGTGACACGTTGCCTCTTTGATGGAGCTCACAAGGACTTAGGCCTAAATGTTGTCCCACTGGGGGCACTGTGTACACTGCCCTCCAAGGAGAGGAATGGGAGACCCTCTGTGCACAGACAGCCTGGCTAGGGAGTCCAGAGGGAAAGGTGGACAGCAAGCTGCAGGAGAAAAGTCAAGGGAGGGTGTTATAATCAAATGCCATTACCCACAAGAGAAGACAGGAGGTTGGAGATGGAACTTGTGTTTCTCATTATTAAGAAGGGTGTACTCTTTCTCTGTCCCTCTTGGGACAAAAGGTTTTGCTTCCCTTTTTGTGGTATTAGTACTGTGGCTCTGTCAACCTGCCCATTATTCATTGCAAAATCTACAAAGCCTGAGTTGCCACCAATGCCGCCACACGTCCCTCTTTATTGGGAGAGAATGAATTATTGCAGCTCCAAGCCCTTCCAGTGCGACTCAGGGAACTGTGAGAATTTCTTTGAGTGATAACTTCTGTTTAAATATACCATTCATCTGCTAGGATCTGAAAGTCTCAGTCTTACTTGTTCCTTCTGTTAGCTGCAAAAGCAGGAAACAGAAGTCCATGTTAGCGATGCTAAGATTATTTTCAAAAGCATTTAAATAGGTCAGAAGAGTGAACAAGGGTAGTTTAGACAGTAGCAGTGGGCAGTGCTTTCCCCCTTTCTCAGATTGGGGGACTCTCCCACATTTCACCTCATGATTTCCTTGCTCTCCTTGACAGTTTGTGGAAAACCTAAGAACCCAGTGGATCAGGTGCAGTGCATCATAGGTGGATCACTGGATGCCAAAGGCAGCTTCCCCTGGCAGGCAAAGACGGTTTCCCGCCATAATCTCACCACGGGGGCCAGGCTGATCAATGAGAAATGGCTGCTGACCACAGCTAAAAATCTCTTCCTGAATCACACAGCTGATGCAAAAGCCAAGGACATCGCTCCCACGTTAAAGCTCTACGTGGGGAAAAATCAGCTTGTACAGATTGAGAAGGTGGTTCTCCACCCCAACTACTCCACGATAGACATCGGGCTCATCAAACTCAAACATAAGGTTCCTGTCGATGAGAGAGAAATGCCCATTTGCCTACCTTCAAAGGACTATGCGGAAGTGGGGCATGTGGGTTACGTGTCTGGCTGGGGGCGGAATTCCAACTTCAGGTTTACTGAGCACTTGAAGTACGTCATGCTGCCCGTGGCTGCCCAAGACAAATGTGTGAAGCACTATGAAGGCAGCACACAACCTGAGAAGAAGGAACAGAAGAGCCCTGTTGGGGTGCAGCCCGTCCTGAATGAACACACCTTCTGTGTGGGCATGTCCAAGTATCAGGAAGACACCTGTTACGGCGATGCTGGCAGCGCCTTTGTCGTGCACGACCAGGATGAGGACACCTGGTATGCGGCCGGGATCCTGAGCTTTGATAAGAGCTGTGCTGTGGCTGAGTATGGAGTATACGTGAAGGTGCCCTCCATCCTGGACTGGGTTCAGAAAACCATAGCC